TCCCACTTGCAGCGTTATTATCTCCCGAGGCATCTCGAATAAGGTTTGTTTGTTTGAGGGATTCGTCATCTCTTCCTTCTATCTCTGGCGATTTCGAAACCCATTTTCAAAGAGAGGAAGCAAAGAGATAGGAACAAGACTAATCGGAGAGGATGAGAGGAGATGAGAGGAGAGGAGAGGAGAGGACGCCGCTTGATCTAATCTGGTATATTCAGTAATGGACCTGGCAGAACACACGATTCTGGCCCAAACAATTATATGTTTTTTTTTTTTTTGTGTACTAATGGACCTAGCAGGTCACACATTTAGGCCCAAACCATATCAAGCCCAACCGAACCTGACGACCTGGCACTAACGTGGCAAAAAAATACATCCCTATTGGCTGAATCAATATTATAATAGTACACTTTCTAGGCTCCACAACGCGCGTCAGCAGTTTTGTGGCTCCCGTATGTATTTTTTAATAACTTATAGTCTTGGTAAGATGATTACAAACAATGAAATATACTTTAGCCAAGTGGTATAAGGTGTCTAATTAAGCATGCAAGATCGTGGGTTCAAACCACGCAACCATCATTTATTTTTGATTTTTTATTTGGGTTATTATCATATAGGCTTTTTGTTTGTAAGGTTTTTTATGTTTTTTTCTTTATGGCTTATTGTTTTAAAGATCAAAATAGTTGGATAAACCCTAAAGATTAATGAGTTCAAACCAAAAATAGTTAAAAATGGATGCAAAAACGAACAATAAAAAAACAAAAAAAGCAAGTCTCACGCGGATGGCTTAAAGAGCCTTAAAACTATCCTATTATAATATAGTTCAACCCAAAAATAATAAAAAATTAATCCAAAAACGAACCGACCAAAAAAAAAAAAGTGAATCCCACGCGGCTACCTACGTGGATGGCTTAATGAGGCTTGAATGATATAGATTAAGAACTCAAAAAGTGAAATCATTGCACATATTTCCTAATATATATTTTCAAAAAATTTGTATGTGAGATAAAATAAAAAAAACAACAAAACTTAATTATTTTGGTTATTTATTTAATGAATATGTATTTTCTCTTACATTTTAATAACTACTATAATTTCATTGAAAACATTCCTCACCACCAATTTCAGACTCCGGCAAATGGATTCCCACAATCGATGACGCCGTAAATAAAAATGCCACATCATTTATGAACAAGACTCAAACTTACAAAAAAACATATATAAAAACTGATGTAGCGGAAGCTTCTAGGGATAGAACTAGATCCGTTGATTCTAAGAATATCCGGAAACTAGGGTTTGTGAATACTCTTCACAGTGCTTAATTAAAAGCTCTTAGGGTTTGAGAATACTCTTCTCAGTGGTTTATAGAAACCTCTTTAGGAACAGACTTTTATTTATCAAATCATCATAAAAACTGTTGAATACAACTCTAGGCATAAGAAGTCTATATATATGAAAACCATAAAACCCTAAAACAATAAAGATAATTATCAAAAATAACTAATAAAATAAATAATAAATATTTGGAAATATCTCAAATATTTATCTACATCATTCTCTCCAGGTTGGAGAAGATTCGTCCTCGAATCTTGATCGTAATCTTTGGATCCAAAACGTTTTCCAAGAAAAACTCTTCCTCGAATCTTCAATATCGTTCTTTGCATAAGAATATCAGAAATCTGCACGAATTTCGCACATCTCAGAATCTCCAGAATTTTTCCAAAAACTTGATACTGCACGATTTTTGCACGGATCTGATTATATATTGAATCTTCAAAAATTCGTTTTTGCACAAAGTTTGCACGCATCAAATCTTCATCAATATGATTTCGCCCTAACTTTGCACGCGAATTTTCAAAGGAACCCTCTTTGAAAACAAAGTCAATAGGATGGATATCGTCTTCATATATATCATAGATTGGATCACCATAGATCTCTCGATAGATCTCATGGTTCTCTTCTCTCTCAACAAAAGGACTTTCGTCCAGGATAGGATAGATGCTAATACTCACCATGACATCCAGAATCGTCTTCGATTGAGAAACCAAAGGAACCTGGCTCTGATACCAACTGATGTAGCGGAAGCTTCTAGGGATAGAACTAGATCCGTTGATTCTAAGAATATCCGGAAACTATGGTTTGTGAATACTCTTCACATTGCTTAATTAAAAGCTCTTAGGGTTTGAGAATACTCTTCTCAGTGATTTATGGAAACCTCTTTAGGAACAGACCTTTATTTATCAAATCATCATAAAAACTGTTGAATACAACTCTAGGCATAAGAAGCCTATATATATAAAAACCATAAAACCCTAAAACAATAAAGATAATTATCAAAAATAACTAATAAAATAAATAATAAATATTTGGAAATATCTCAAATATTTATCTACATCAAAAACCTATCTAATGAAACTTAAAAACGAATGTTAACTTAATTAAGGTTATTTTCAAATTGATAATTCGTTTAATACAAATATAAATACTATAAATATAGAATTATATCAAGTTTTGACCTACGATATAAAAACTATTTACAGCAAAAAAAAACACCTACTTTTACACACTAAAACTATATTATAGCCTAACTATTCCTATAAACCTTACTTCGCATATAAATAACATTTAACTCATTCCTAATATATTTTCAAAAAATTTGTATGTGAAATAAAATAAAATAAACAACAAAATTTAAGTATTTTTCGTTATTTATTAAATGAATATGTAATTTCTTTTACATTTTAATAACTACCCTCATTGAAAACATTCTTCACCACCGACTCCAGACTTCGGCAAATGGATTCCCACAGTCGATGACGCCGTAGATAAAAATGCCACATCATTTATGAACAAAACCCAAACTTACAAAAAACCATATATAAAAAGAGAATTCGGCCAAAAAAAGCACAAACTTTGCATGAATTTCCAAAAGAAACCTGTACTTGAGCCTGATCAAAAGAAACATGAACTTTTGTTGACTTTATTAGTTTATTAAGAAACTTACGAATGACTTGCCATTTTAGCACACTGTTAACGAGCAGTTAAGACGGTGTTAACTTGGACGTTAATTGTTAACGTTAGGATGAAACGACGTCGTTTTCAATTGAGATGAAACGTCATTTTAAGAGATTTGAAAATAAAAAGACATAAACCTATGCTTGAGCCTGGTCAAAAGAAACATGAACTTTTGTTGACTTTATTAGTTTATTAAGAAACTTACGATTGACTTGCCATTTTAGCACACCGTTAACGAGCAGTTAAGACGGTGTTAACTTAGACGTTAATTATTAACGTTAGGATGAAACGACGTCGTTTTCAATTGAGATGAAACGTCGTTTTAAGCGATTTGAAAATAAAAAGACATAAACCCCTGGAATCGAACCCGGGTTGTTTGGACCAAATGGCAAGGTAGTTTACCACTAGGCTAGTGGCACATTCAATGTATCTACTAACACGTTTACTTATATTTGGTACTGATTGAATATAAAAAAAAATCTATAAAAACTTTAAAATTGTTTTAAAATTTCAAAAAAATGAAAAATAGAGAATTTTTTTATAAAATTAATTTGAAAATTAAAATTTAAAAAAAAAATTTCTTTAAAAAAAATCAGACGGGAACTTATAAAATTTTATTTTTCTTTCACTGTATTAGTTCCCGCCTGATTTTTTTAAAGAAAAATACATTGAAAGAAAAATATAAGTAAATGTGTTAGTAGATATATTGAAAGAAAAATGTGTTAGTAGATACATTGAAAGAAAAATAAAATTTTATTAGTTCCCCCCTGATTTTTTAAAGAAAAATATAATTTTATTTTAATTTTAATTTCAAAACTAATTTTCTAAAAAAATTCTTTATTTTTTCATTTTTTGAAATTTAAATGATTTTTTAAAATTTTTTATATAATTTTTTTTATATTCATTCAGTACCAAATATAAGTAAACGTGTTAGTAAATACATTGAATGTGGCACTAGCCCAATGGTAAACTACCTTGCCATTTGATCCAAACAACCCGAGATCATGTCCAGGGGTCTACGTCTTTTTATTTTCAAATCGCTTAAAACGACGTCGTTTCATCTAAATTGAAAACGATGCCGTTTCATCCTAAAGTCAACAATTAACGACGTTATTTTTTCTGTTAAATTTGGCGACGGCGTGCCAAATTGGCAAGTCAACAAAAACATTGTTAATTAATTCTAAAGTCAATGAAAAGTTTATGTTTTTCTTTGTCAGCCCAAAAGTTTAGGTTTCTTTTGGTAATTCGTGCAAAGTTGGTGTTTTTTTTTTGCCGAATTCTCTATATAAAAACATATCTAATGAAACTTAAACAACGAATATTAATTTAATTAAGATTATTTTTAAATTGATAAATCGTTTAATACAAATATAGATACTATAAATATAGAATTATATCAAGTTTTGACATACGATATAAAAACTATTTACAGCAAAAAAAAAAAATAGACACCTACAAACACACTAAAAATTATATTATAACCTAACTGTTCCTATAAACCTTACTTCGCATATAAATAACATTTAACACATTAGATATACAATATTTTCACTTTACACTCTTACTACATTTTTTCCATTTCATTATTATTTGGTGTCATTAGAAGAATCCACTAAACCATTAAATCGAAAAAAATATACGCAAATATAATGATTCCGGCTCCGCGCTTGCGCGGGGAGTATGCAACTAGTATAATTAAGGACGTAGACACCTTAAGAAACACGTATATCCTGCTTTTATATATAGTAGATTATGTACAACATTTTACCAATATTTCTTTTAAAAGTACAAAGAAATTTTTGTTTCTCAAAAATTCACAAGGGTCAGTTGACCCCACTCCCTTGACTGTACCTCCGCCACTGCTGGACCATATTTGTATATGGTATATTTGCTGATGGAAGTTATTGATATTTTATGATTAGTAACTGACTTGTGATTTTATGAGAGTAAAATCAAAGTAATAATGGATAACGCATAAGTATATGAGAAATCATGAATTAGTTTCTATTGAATTTTCTTTCATGTATATACAAAAAATTGTAGGCTTATTGGCCTATGATGTTAAGAATTGAGACTCTGTATTTGATCAAAGACTTAGAGAGAGATTCAAGCCCATCTTCAAGATCTTGAATGCATGACTCTAATACCTGAACATCCTCCATCTTCAAGGTCTTCTCAGACTGAAATTCGAAGTCAACCTTAGTGAATTCGTTTGCTTGAGCTTCACATGAGACCTTTTTCTGGTTAATTAGCTTTGAGACCAATGACCATTTGCTACAAGTCTTTGATCCATACATAAAGTAGAAGAGAGAATCAAAAAGGTTCATGCTGATAGCTTCTGCTTCTCCAAAGACCGCCAAAGACTCATCGATGCACTTCAGGTCTTGTTTGACCTTCAAACTCTTGAGGACCTTTTGGAAGGACTTCTTGAGGGATCTTCTTGAGGCTAAATACTTCTTAATCTCTCCTGATAGATTTCCGCGCTTTCTTCTTAGAATTGATTGGATCTCCTTGAGGTATTCTTTCATCTGCGACAAAGTGTCCTTGGAAATGTTGCACAAATCCAAGATCTTGAGAGATCCATCAAGAAGTTGCTCGGTGGCTTTGTTCTGGTCTTGAGCTAGAGCTTGTTGTGTGGCAGGTAAGCGAATAAGTTTTTCAAGTGATTGGTGAAGCTCTTGAAGGTTGTTAAGTCTTTTACAGATCGAAGAGCTTGAAGATGTTGACGCTTCCTCAGAAGATCTTAAACGAATCAACTGTTCATCGACATGAGCAGCTTGCGGGTGAAGTCTCGAAGGGAAACTGTTAGAGCGAACGTGGAAAGAGATGGCCATTTTGCTGATCTTTAAGCTAAAGATGAGAGAGCTATTATTGTTCTGCTATCTCAATGCCTCTCCGGGCAATACATATATACACCAGCAGGAAAGAGAGATATGAGTAATCTCATGGTTGTTAAAATATTAGAATCATTAATATAGTGTTCCCTTTCAAATGTGACAAAAGCCATCTCATCTTAATATAAAAGTAATTAAACAAGATCTGTATTTCTTGCCCAACCAATACCATCCTCACCGCTCAATTCTCAAACTTTTTTAAGCCATTGAGATGCGCTCATTGCACGAGGGACTAATTAAAATCAGAGCTGGCTTGTCTGCTATTCAAAAGCCTATGCCATTCGTGCAGATCTCTTTCTTATCTTCTAGCTTAAATAAAATAATTTAATCTCCATTTTTCCAGCTACTACATATTCCACGTGAACTTACAGACTACAATGAGCCAGAGGACAATGCCTATCTACGATTGCTATTTCAAGTTTTAGGCACGTTGAAAATTAAGGCTGGGCAAATAAATCGCATCCAAAAACCCGAACTGAACTCGATCGATAAAAATGAATCTGAACCGATCTGAACCTGACATCAATACCGAATAGATTTTCTTTTATGGTATTTCGGGTTATGGGTATTATCTGAACCAAACCCGAACTTATATGAATATCCGATAAAACCCAATTTTTTTAAAATCTCAAAAAGAACTTGTACCAAACATGATTTCAATTCCTAATATATATCCAAAAGACTTCAAGATATTATTGAATATCTTAAATAATTATTTTTTACATGAAAGTTGATGGTTATAGGTGACAACTGAAGCTTGAAGTTTTTAGATTTTACTTTTATTTTAACTGAATAATGTTACTCATTTCTTTGACAAAAAAAAAAAAAAATGTTACTCATTTCATGAGAGCTTGGTTTTCGTTTTATATCTTCATTTATTTTATTTTTTTATATTAGTAACTATGTTGATCTTTCGTTTGTTGTTCTTTTCTTATTTTTGAATCAGTTTTACTTATGTTTGAATTACAAAATAAAGATAAATCATGTACTTTAAATTCGAAGAATCGATTTTACTTATGTTTTGGTTACAAATTAAGTAAAAATCAGGTACTTTTAAACCAAAAGACGGATTGGAACCCGAAACCGAAAGTACAATGGGTTGTACTGATTTGTTAAAAATTTACTAACCCCGACCTCAATCCGATAGAACCCGAACCGAACTTTCATATAATACGAATGGGGCTGATTTTGATAAATCCAAAAAAACAAAAAAAAAACAATTGGAATAAACCGAATTTCGATTGGGACTCCGACTGCCCAAACCTATTGATGCTCCTAGCTACCCGGAAACTAAGTAAGCTCGTGAAAATGGGGAATCCAACATTTCCAAAGAAGATACAAGAAAGAACAATCACGTTTTTTTTAGAAAAAAATTATGAATTTAAATATATATTATTATTTTTTAATTATGTGACTCAAAGGTGAAGAAGAATGATAATGTGACTATCTTTCATTATTATTTTTTTGAAGATAAAAAAAAGAATAATAATGAAAATAATTACATTATCATTCTTCTTTACCTTTGAGTCACATAATTAAAAAAAATAATAATAATAATAAAAGATAGTTACATTTTCATTACTTTTTTTTTGCAAAAGAACTATCTTTGATGTTCCTTCTTAAATACTGATTGATCACAAGAGCTTGCCAGTATGATCTACACCTACACGTTTGCGTTGTGCTTATATTAATCCGTAAAAATGTAATAAAACTACTATGATAATAATGCAAGTTTTGGCCTTTCGGGTGGAGTTAACGCCTAACGGTAAGATCCGTATCCGTAGATAAAGCAAGTGAACAAATCATGTGGAGATTTAGAGAGAGTGATTAATTAAACCACTTTGTATAGGTTTTTGTTTCTTTAATGAAAAAGAATATATGGACAAGAGAAACCAAAGTTGAATCAATCAATAATCTTTTTTATCAGTCTAAAGTTTATGCATAAAATTGTATGTTTTAATGGCCTGAAAAATGTTAAGAATTGAACTTATTAATATTATTTATTTATTTTAATATTAATAGCATTATAATGTAAAAAATAAAATTTCGTTTTAAAGATTTATCCCAAAATAGGGATTGATGACTTTCCAAAATACTTTATCTATTTCATATTATATTTTGTTTTAATTTTTTTATACAAATTAAGAAAATAATTTAATGTTTTTTTGTGTGTTTTGTCTTTAATTCATACATTATTTTGTTTCGATAGGATAACTCATGTGGTAAAACTTAGGGATAAAATTAGAAAAATTGACAAACATATACATTGAAAAATATAAAACGAAGCTTAAAATAAAATAAAACAAATTTAAAAGTCTAAAACAAGATATGATGTGAAACGGATGATATGTTGTTTAGTAATTCTATGTATTGTTTTAGTAATTTGTTTTTATTGCAACAAATTATAGGCGACCTTGTGGAAAAATCTTTTACTGAGACAATGTGAAATGGAAAACAATATACTTAAAAAAAAATGGAAAACAATATACTTTCTCACAGTTACAATTAACAAAATTTGAAAATACACGGCCGTTTCAATATTAGAATAGAGACAAGATCCTTATCCATCGATTTTTGCATGTATATGCACACGGTTCTTTAGTTTTTAATTAATGTCCCACTACGTTGACATGATAACGTGTAATTAGTTGTAGAAAACGTGTGGATCCAAAGAAAACAAAGATTAATATTGATAATAGACGGGCAAGATCCATATTCGTCGTTCTTTTAACATGCGAAATCACATGAAGACTTTAAGTTTCTTTTCTATATTTTCTTGAATCACCTTAATGTATCCTTCTGTACAGACAATAACTGAGGTATCATTGCAGGGACGTGTGAAATCAATATTCTCATTACTCAGTGTGATCTTAACTGTAATAAATAACCAGAGACATCTCCAAATTAATAGATTAAGTTAGTAAACCAATGTTTTAGCATTATGTTGAATATTTGTGTAATTTGCGAGTTCTAGAGTTGATACTGAATTTTTGGATTTGGTGTTTCTTGAATGAACTTGCTCTTTGATGGTTTAAAGAGACAGATTAAATAAGTAAGAAGTTTGGAACTGAGTCTTTGAATATGTTTCTATTATCTTCTCTGCTATATACAAAACTTGTAGGCATTATTGGCCTAATGAGTTAAGAACTGAGACTCTATATTTGATCAATGACTTTGAAAGTGATTCAACTCCATCTTCAAGATCTTGAATGCATGATACTAGAATCTGAACATCTTCTATCTTCATGGTCTTTTCAGACAGAAATTCAGAATCAACCCTTGTGAATTCGTTTGCTTGTGCTTCACATGAAACTTTTTTCTGGCTCATTAGCTTTGAGACAAGTGACCATTTGCCACAAGTCTTTGATCCAGACATGTACCTGAACAGAGAATCAAACAGAGCAATTGTAACGACTTGCGCTTCTCCAAACACAGCCAAAGATTCTCCGTCATGTGCAACCTTTAAAGGCTTTTGTACTTTCTGAAATGTCTTCTTGAGGAACTTTCTTGAGGCTAAGTATTTCTTCACCTCTCCTGATAAATCTCCTCGTTTTCTTCGTAGAATCGATTGTATCTCCATTAGACCCTCTTTCATCTGCGATAAAGCTTCCTTAGAAATGTTGCACAAATCCAAGATCCTTAGTGATCCATCAAGAAGCTGCTCGACGGCTTTCTTGTTCTGTCCTTGAGCTAGAGCCTGTTGTGTGACGGGCAGGAAAATAAGCTTGCCAAGGGACTCATGTAGCTCTTTAAGGTTGTCAATTATTTTGCAGATTGAATAGGTGGAAGATGTTGAGGCTTCCTCAGATGATCTCAATCTGGCCAACTGCTCATCGACATGAGCGGCTTGTGGGTGAGTTCTAGAAGGGAAACTGTTAGAGCGAACGTGGAAAGACGCTGCCATTTTATTGGAACCTAAGCTCTTTGCTTGATCAAAGAGAAGGTGTTGAGAGAGCTAAAGATGTTTGGTCTGCCTTCTCATTGCCTCTCCGATCAATACATATATACAAATTAGGAAAGATAGGCAAGAGGAGTCTCATGGTGATTAAAATATTAACAGCATCAATACAATGTCTCCCTTTCAAGATGGCACAAGGCATCTTTTTCTCATTATTCACTAATAATGGTAGAGATGTCCACCATATAAGCTCAATGTCTCCCGCCAACTACATCTCAATTTACTTAATGCATTGCGATAAGTTTTATAGCAGTGAGATATATTATAGTCAGGTTTGTCTGCTATTCAAGCAGCTGTGAAATTACAGAGTAGAATGTGCCATAGGACATGCAAAAGACAATGCTGGTGTAAGTAAGAGTCAGGTGTCAATCATGTTGGAGGTACAGAAATAAGCCCATAATACCATTATGTGTACACGCTTTAGCTTTATATTATCTTACAAAATGTGTAACCGCACGAGCACTCTTAATACCTTCTGTCAATTCCAGCTTGGATTTGTCTCCTGCGTCTGTATATTTTTGAGTATTTATAAATCTGCACACGTTCGCCTTATGAATTCATGATTATACTGGTCAAAAGAGCGCATATTTAGACAACTATGATAATGGTAGTTTTAATGAAGTGGGGGCAAGATCCGCATCCGAAGATCATGGCATGTTAACATGTACACAATGGATTACTTAGCACTTATTGGGTTAATGGTTAATATCAGAGAACCGTGTAGAGGTTCAGAGATGCCACATGGTATGTTGAACAAAGTAAAGTTGTTTAATTTACTCCGCCATACGGGAAATCGGTCAATTCATACAACAACAGAAGGTTGTGGTCTCGATCAGTACATCAACTGATGACCTGTGCTAAAACATACATTAACATTGATTTATTTTAAATTTCATACACAAACTAGTAAAACTAGGCTAAATTATACATTGACATTTTTTTTCATTAGTCAAGCATTCATATATGATGACATGTCATTAACAGAAGCTTACGTGGCGCTGAATTATCTATTATAATTTAAAATAATAATTATTTAAAACAAAACATTTCTGCCAAATATGTTGTAGGGGGATTCAAAGCCTGGATGACTCATGGACTTTTGTAACATTCGACCACTGTAACACATCTGTTCCTTGTTTGTCTTCTCTATGATTTACTATATATCTGAATAATATTTAATTTTGATATTTCTTTTCCCTTCTCTCTTTAAAAGCTCGATAGATTCTAGAAAAAAAAATGTAACTCTTTTGAATTCAATTTTCCTCACATCTCATTCATTTCTATGTATTTGTTTTTTTCATTTTTCCATTGATGGATTTCTGGGTCGCAAACAAACATGTCAGCTAGCTTAAAACAAAAAATTGAATAATAGTTTTCTCAAGATATTTTCAGAAAATGTTGAATCCCAACTAAATTTCAATAAGCTTTTTAATACTCAAACTTTTTCGCTACCCAGTTTAGTACCCCAACTAATTATTTTTTCCATTTTAATACCCAAAATCTTATAACTGTACCCATTTTAATACCCAAACTTTGTTTATTTTAATGAAAAATACTAATAAGTTTCAAACAAAATTTTAAAAATATTTAAATTTTACAAAAAAATCTAATTTTATTTTGTGTTGAGAAAAAAAGTAAATAATTTTGTATAGTCTTAAATTTTGAAATAAGTTTCTTAAATTTTAAATATTGAATTTATTTATTTTTAAAAATAAAAAATAAATTAATTTGCTTTCCTTCGAAATTAATTTTAAAATTTTCTTTAGAGTTCGTTTACCTTCTTTCTTAAATCTTCAATTAAATTAGAAAATTTAAAGATTTTTTTTAGATTTTAGAGATTTTTTTAATTTTTTTTTTGAAACAGATTAGTATTTTCGTTAAAATAAACATAGCTTGGGTATTAAAATAGACACAGTTATAAAAGTTTGGGTATTAAAATGAGAAAAATAAATTGGATAGCGAAAAAGTTAGGTATTAAAAAACTTAACGAAATTTAGTTAAGGTATATTTATGGAATTTTTTTCTCTTTATTAGAGATATATTTTAAACCATATACAATTGTAAGAAATGTATTGGGTTGTCACAGTGGTTGTGTGTTAACAGTCACTGATTGGACCAGGGTTCAATACTCCCTTGCTTCGTGTTTGTTAAATTAATTTTTATTACGATATTTTAAGCCGTTGACAATATAAACATTGTATCAGTTTGTCACAGTGGTTTGGCATTGCATTATTCACTCAGTCAACCAGGGTTCAAAGCACCCCTCATTCAGAATTATAAATTAAATTTTGGCCATTATTTATTATTTTAAATTATAATAGACAACTCAGCGCCACGTAAATTTCCGTTAAGGACATGTCATCATCTATAAACGTTTGACTAACATAAAATAAGTCAATGTATGATTTAGCCTAGTTTTATTAGTTCGTGTATGAAATTTAAAATAAATCGATGTTGATGTAAATTTTATTATTTTAAATTATAATAGACAATTCAGTGCCACGTAAATTTCCGTTAATGACATGTCATCATCTATAAACGTTTGACTAACATAAAATAAGTCATTGTATGATTTAGCCTAGTTTTATTAGTTCGTGTATGAAATTTAAAATAAATCGACGTTGATGTATATTTTAGCACATGTCATCAATTGATGTACTGATTGGGACCGCGTTCCTCTGTTGAGGTATGAATTGGCCGATTTTCCGTTGAACAAAGTAAACGTTGTTTAATTTTATCGGCCATAAAGGAAAATGACAGAAGGCTGGGAATTTGAGAGTAAGAAACTGTATGAGTTTTAGTAATTATTAAAAAACTGAATGAAGGGATTTTAATGATATTTGTGAAAAAACAAGAGAAAGGACAATTATTTCAAATAGACATTTAAAGAAAAATCAATAAAATAGAAAAAAATTAAAATGATCAAAATAACATTTTTATTTTTAAAAAGTTAAGTTTTTTTTAAACAAAATTTGAAATCATATCCCAAAACTCCCATTACAAGAAATATTGACATTGTTAGCACGGAAAATATGCTATATTAGATGTTTCATAGCAAGTTCATAAATGCTATGTATGCGGCAGCAATCATAGGTACCCCTTCTACAATAGCGTTTTATGAATGCTATGAAATATGCAAATATGATAACAATACTTGGATGATACTAGAGTTTTTTACGTAATGAGTCACAAAGTGACTTTGTCTTGCAGAGAGAGACACTTAGGATAGTTGGGACACTTTCCCTTGGCAGTATCTGTGTATTAAGACATTAGTGTCCTTTTGGTGGAAATCGGTTAAAAATGTTGGAGAAAAAGGAACCAGTTTTGTTTTAATGGAAGGATCGAATGAAACATTAATGAGAGTTTAATTGTTAGGTTTATTGATGGAAGAGCTTAATTGTAGGCCGTTAGATGAGAAAATAGACTCCCAATCTGGCGGTCAATTTTGAATGTTGTGCAAGTAGGTTCAGCTGTGAGAAGGACGTGAATTTATTGTCTTGAACCCAGTGAATTTCTCTTGCTCGAAGAAATTGTGAAGGAAAGCTGAAGGTGAGATTTGAGTTGTTTTTTTTTTTAAATCAATAAAAACATAATTTGTTTTGACTGAGTGTATCTTTGTGTTGCAGTTCGCTGCAATGGAGGAGCAGTGCATGGTGATGTGCGGTGAGTGGGTGTGTGGTGATGGAGCGAAGTGGGATTTTGTGCTTGACAAACGACAGATGTGTCGTCTTGTTCCGCTGTACGAAGGAATGAGCTTGAGTGAACTTCAGGGGAACATCTCTCGTGAGTTTGGTGTAAAGGAAAATTTGTTTGTGGCTGCGTTAGGCTACTGGCCTCCGACAAGTTTGGAGTTAGCTACAGGGATAAGAACACCACCGGTACTACTAACAAGTGATGGAGCGAGAAGGTACTTCCTGCAGAACTTGAGAGTGAAAGGAGCTATGAATCTGTTTGTTGGATTTGAGAGGAGGAAGAGAGACAAGGAGGAGTACATTGATGATTCTGGGCTGGGTTTTGTAACTCCTGGTACTTTTACAAAGAGGGGAACTTCAAATGTTGGTTCTGTTTTGAGACGTGGTGTGTCTTCTTCTTCTGGTTCTAATGTTGGTTCTGGTTTGAGGCGTGAATTTGTGCACACAGCAGTTCCAAAAGCCCCTGTCGTGAATCTGGACGATGTTGAGTTTGTACGTGAGGTGGAGAGAGTTGAGGAAGAAATAAAGGATGAGAGTTCGTTAGGAAAAGAAGCAGCTTTAAGCGGCAGTAGTTTGGGTGGTAGTGATGATGTGGATGAGATTGACGAAAGAGACGTGAGACCTCGAGGATACGACAAAGAGTTCTGGAGTCCACTTCTAGATGGTGACTATGCTGGCTCTAATGCTGTAAATGTTATTTACAATGAAGATGAGATTGTGGAAAACGTCAGCGGTAAAACAGGTCCATACCGTTACACGTGTAACACAAACGACGGCTTCGACCATGTGGTTGAAGACGGTGGTGCTAGCAATGTTAAAAGTGACTCTAGTGGTGACAAACACCCGTGGATGGGGGAGAGCTATAATCCGTGGATGAGTTCTGGTGACAACAGTAACCCAAGTGTGGACAGGAGTGAACGTGTTCAAACAAGAAAGTTTGATGAGGTAGATGATGAAGAGTTTGATATTTCACCACTTTTTGATGATACAAACTATGCTGCAGCTGAGACACCAGATATGGATTTGGAGGAAGGTGATGGTAGGATCTATGTTGGGAAGGTGTTTGGGAACAAAGCTGACTGCCAGATTTCTCTTGCCATATATGCTATAAAAAATCAGTTCCGTTTCAAACAAACAAGGACCAAGGTTGATTCATTTGTTGTTGAGTGCCCCGACACAAAATGTGATTGGCGTGTGACAACACATGAGATAAGGGGATATGGCTATTACAAGATCAGGAAAGCACAACTAGATCATAGCTGTCCAATAGAGTTTAGGCAGGGTTATC